ATGGAGTTGAACTATCTCTGAGAAGAAGGTGTGAGCTACTATGGTTGCTAAATATGGGTGGGCCAAGGGGATGAAGTGAACATATTTGGATAGACGATCTACCACTATTAGGATGACCGATTTACCTCCCACCTTTGGTAATGCCTCAATAAAGTCCATGTATATATCTTCCCAAATTTGCTCTGGTATTTGCAGTGGTTGTAATAATCCAGCTGGATGAAGATGTTCAGTCTTGTTGCGCTGGCATATCATGCAATTACTGACGAATTGTTGGATAGTTTGTTTCGCTTGGGGAGTGTGGAAAGTCAGTTTGAATCTATGGAGTGTTTTATCTGATCCTTCATGAGTAGCATCATGAATAGCGTGTGTAGTCTATCGTGATGAATTGGGGAGGATGTAGGAACATGTACCCACCTTTTGTAAAGAATGAGGTCGTCCTGCAGTTTCCAAGATGGAGAGAGGAGTCCTTTGGTGATGGCAGCAACAATTTTTGCAGCCTCCTCATTGGTGGATACTTCTTCTTTGAGCTAGTTGAATATTGGAAATTGGATCTCTGATAATGACATTAGTGATGCTGCAGTCTCTTTCCGGGATAAAGCATCGGCCACTATATTGTGTCTGTCCGTTTTATATTCAACAGAGAAATCATATCCGAATAACTTACTCACCCATCGATGTTGTGGGATTGTTGATAGTCGTTGGTCCAGGATGTACTTTAAGTTGTAATGATCTGACCTGATTATAAATGTGCGGCCCCAAAGGTAGGGTCTCCAATGCTTAATTGTTGTGACTAGACCAATTAATTCTCTTTCATAAGCTGCTAATTTAGCATGTCGTGGAGCAATCATGCGACTGAAGAAAGCGGTCAGTCCTGCTCCCTGATGTAGCACAGCGCCAAATCCCACAGAAGAGGCATCACATTCCACAATAAATGGTTTATTAAAATCAGATAGCTAGAGTACCGGTGCCGTAGAGAGAACCTGTTTCGGTTGCTCGAATGCTGTTGTTGCCAATTTTGTCCACCTAAAACAGTCCTTTCTTAATACCTACATGAGAGGTCTGGCGATGGTGCCAAAATCTTTGATGAATTTTCTGTAGTATACTGCCAATCCTAAAAATCCCTTGAGCTGTTTCACTGTTGTTCGTTGGAGCCAAGAGGAGATAGCCTGTATTTTCTCTAGGTTGACTGCTACTCCCTGGTCTGATATAATGTGGCCTAAGTATCCCACCGTTGTTTGGCCAAATGAACATTTAGATTTTTTAGATATACTGCACTCTTTTGAAGGATTGAGAATACCTTTTTGTATGTGGTCCAGATGTTGGTTCCAGGTTTTGCTATAAATTAAGATATCATCAAAGAAAACAAGGACAAACTTTCGGAGGTAGGGACCCAGTATATCATTCATAAGTGCTTGGAACGTAGAAGGGGCATTGCATAAACCGAATGGCATAACCAGGAATTCAAAGTGGCCATGATGGGTTCGAAAAGCTATTTTCTCAATATCATCTGGGTGCATGCGTACCTAGTGATACCCAGAGCGTAGGTCTAATTTAGTGAAGAATTTGGCTCCTTCCAATTCATCGAGTAACTCATCAATGATCGGTATTGGGAATTTATCCTTGAGGGTGTTGTCGTTGAGTGCTCGGTAGTCCACGTAAAAACGCCATGATCCATCTTGTTTTTTGATGAGTAGTACTGGTGATGAAAATGGAGAGGTGTTGTACCTTATGATGCCCTATGCCAGCATATCCTAGCACTGTTTCTCTAATTCAACTTTTTGGAGATGCGGGTAGCGGTAAGGTCTAACAGCTGTGGGTTTACTGGGATCCTTCAGATGAATTCGGTGATCATATCGACGTTGGGGTGGGAGCCCTTGAGGATCCCGAAAGAGATGTGAGAAACTAGTCAATAGTGCCTCCATTGTTGGAGTAGGACTGAGTGTGTGAAGCCATGGTTGATCAGGGCACGGTTTGCCCAAACTGGTCCAAATGATTTGACGTCCATGGCGCCAAAATTTTATTGTGAGGTTGTTGAAATCCCATATGATCGGACCAAGTGAACTCAGCCAATTGACGCCTAACACGAAGTCAAACCCTCCCAATTTGATGCTGTAGCAATCAATATTGAAGATTTTAGTGTCAATCTGCACTCCGAAATTATTGTATATACCCACGTTAGAAATGCGGTCGCCATTTGCTACTGTCACTGATGGGGAATTTGGTGCTCTTATCCGTGGCAGCTGAGGGTCATCTGCTGTGTCGGAGTCAATGAAATTGTGTGTAGACCCTGAATCCAGTAGTGCTAGGAAGTCACGGACGTTGATGGAAATCTGCACCTGCATAGTCTGGCTGGTGGTGATCCCTGTGACGGCGTTGAGTGATATCCGGATGTCGTGGCTTTCATTGCATAAGGAATGTGAGAATTCTTTTTGTTTGTTCGATATATAAAATTTACGGGCCATTGCTATCGCTGATTCCATATCTGATGGTTGCTAAAGTTGTATGTCTATTTGCAGTGTTGATGCCAGTCCCGCTGTATAAAGCATAACTTGCTGAGCAGTAGACAACCCTGTTACCTTGGTTACCGTGAGGAGGAATTGATTTGTGTAGTCATCCAATTCTCCTGTCTAATGGGTTGAAGTAAGATCGCCCAGGTGGTTGTGGTGTATTGGTGGGCCAAAGCGCCTGTCAATAGCCTGAGAAAATTGAGGCCACGTTGGATACCCTATTTCCTGTTCCCATCTAATGAACCAAGTTAGGGCGTTGCCATGCAGATGAAACACCACTAGCTGCATTCGTTCCTCCTCCTTGGTATTCTGGGCAGCAAAAAAATGTTTCATTTGTACAACCATTGTGAAGGTTCATCGTTCCTGTTGTATTCAGGGAATGATAATTTGTGGGAGTTTGATGATCGCCTCGGCTGTTGTTGATCAGCTTTCTGGAAATCCTTGTTGAGCTGGGATTGGGGGTGCCTCCAGCGAAGTGGTCTGCACGATGTTGGTCGGTTCTGGGTGGTGAAGCGGATTCTGGTCCGGTGGAGGACTCGGTAGTATGGATCGTTTTGAGGGTGCCACATACTTCTGTTCTTCCTCCTGATTGGAGAAAAAAAATTCGAATATTTTTGCCCAACGATCGGTGATATCGTTGATGCTCTCCATGGAGTTGATCACAACGTGGCTCTGAATACCAGATGTAACACGCCTGTTGATCCCCAACTGCTGCAGGATCAGATTGGGGCCGATCTGAGGGTTTGGGGCGACGGCGGCGTGCTGTGTGGCGGCCTGGCTGAGGGTGGCCGGCGGCAGCTTGGCTGATGTGGTCGGCAGCCTGGCAGGGAGGGGCGGTGGCCTAGCTTGAGAAGGCGGCGGCGGCTAGGAACAGAAGGGGAAGGGAGAAGGGATAAAGGGATTAACCCTAAACTTGCTTAGTTTCTCATTAAGCGTCTCTGGGGGGTTACAATCACTAATGGGCCTGGCCCAATAGCCTAACTATCTATTAAGGCTAAATTATAACAAATCGGCCTATTGCCCTTTACTAGCCACTAACTGTAGACTTGGAGACTTAGGATATTGCCTCCTCCTAGTGTAGGTCTCGCCGATCATGACAGGTAATCTCCTCATTCGGTGACAACACTATCCAAAACAGCAAACCCTGCAGCATCAAAAGTGAATGGTGTTACAGCAGCCAAAAGGAAATTAAAATTAGTCCAGACTCCAGAGCAAATTTTTGAAGTGTCGTAAAAAAGGAGGATCACATTGACTCACTGTATATCATGCTGCTGGATCATGCATGCATGTCCCTGGACTCTGATGCGTGGCTTCTGTCTGTTCTGTTCTCCGCGCGCAGGAGCCCTCTGTTATTCCACATGCGCGAAATTGGAGGAATGCCTTGGGCCGTATTCAGTAGTAAGACAGAAGTAAATTCATGACGCACCGTGTATTCGTGCCAGAATGAAGCAGAGCAACCCTCGACCTCGAGGACGCAAAGCCATGAGCTGTGTTATGCCGCGTCTGCAGGGGTCACGCCAACTGACATTTTGCACAAGCTTTTGTTGCAAGTAAACATGCTTACCAGTAGACACTACCAGTACAATCAAAGCCGTAAGATCGGACGAACAAATTTGACCACGGGAAACAAAGCAACGAATGCAACGTCACTAGATAAAATGGATCATTTATTTACAGATATGCAGCAACCTGGGTACATTAGTGCAACCTTATACCAACACAACATGAGACCGACCAAAAGAGAAGAAAAGAACTGCAGCGTACAGCAGAATTTAAATTAACATACCGTGTTTCCATCAGGCAATGCAGATGCAGACTGAAGAATGAGCGAATGAGACGCAACAAACGAACAAATTGGGATGGTCCAACAACAATACATTTGATTCAAACGAATATCTTTGACTTTGAGGTTCCTGTACAAAAGTCGAATATATTTGACTTTGAGGTTCCTGTACAAAAGGCAGTGCTGTACAAATGTAATAACTTATTAATATAGGGGGGGAAAACGCAGTTCGGTGTTACACAAATGGGTGGACAGGGGTACACAAAATCACAAATTGAAAGGAACATCTTCAGTCGCTTGACCACACGGCACACCACACGTACGCAGTTCTAACTCTTGAAGACAGGGTTATTTGGATTCTTGGAAAGCTGCTCCTGCACCATTTCCCTCAGGTCTTGCCTAACATTGGTAATAATATTCCTTGAGGCTTGGGAGAGATGAAAGCCCAGAGACGGAGCTTCTGGAATCATAACCAATCAGCAGCAGAAGCTCAAGCTTCGGTGTTGCCCCTTCTTCGAATTCCACAAATTTAAAATACACGCCTTTCAGCTGCAGGACCATCAGACCCGGGAATGCTTCCAGATGGAAAGTGAGGCCGGGATCTTCACCCTTGAATGAGTCTTCCAAAAGACGTAGGATGACCAGGTTTCGCGGGCTTGCCAAGGACCCGTATGGTGGCATCCAACTCTGATAGTGATAGCTTGGTCTCTTCAAGCTTCAACTTCACAAGATTGTGGAGCCCCTCTATCCATCCCAGCAATTTGACCAGACTGCCGGCCAGCTTGAGGCTCTGGAGGCTTTTTGGGGGCAAGGACACGCCATCCAAGCCCATGTAAACCTGGCTCTCCCGCTGAATGCACTGTCAGCGATTCTAGGCACCTGATATCATCAAGGGTGGAGCAGAACTCTTGACAGTTTTTCTTGTTGATTCCGCTCACTGCTAACCTGCGCAACTGGGTGAGCCTTTTTATCTCCTTCATGATGCCCCTCCCCACAGCGATGTTGACAGCATTCAGTGTGTGAAGCGCTCTCAGCTTTCTTAATCCTCTCGGAAGTATAACACTATATCGGCTTAGCTCCCTGAGTACAGACGGGATAAACCAGCACCAAAAGAAAGTGCACACATCACGCCTATTAATGCCATCTACATTCAGAATCTGAGGTGCGCAACATACGGCACAACAAAGCACTGAAGAAACAGTCAAAAAGCATATCTTGTTCTGCAATAGCTTTGGCATGTGCATATTTTCATAAATCTCGCTTACAGCTTCCTCGTATGTTTCAGCAAGTTATGAACCCAGCATAGATATACTGTAACTTTCTGAGATTGATGATGGTACTTGGCAACTTGATTATGCTTGTATTTTTAATATCGAGAGTCTGTAGTTGCTTGGAAGGTGAATAATTCTGCCGCATCCTCTCAGAGAAAAGTATTTCAGGTGAAGAAGCTTCCCAATTAGCACAAGATGATGGGAAAATAGACCTTTCGTGTTTTCCAAATCTAGCACTCGCAGCAAACACAGCTTGGTAGAAATGTAAAATGGCCTCCACTTCCCAAACACCGTTAATGACCGTATACGGGACGGGTCCACCATACCCTCAAACTCTCCTTTGTCCCCATCCCAATTGCTGCTTATAGTGAGGTGGCGAACAACATCGTGTGTGTTTAAGCTGCAACCTTCTTCTAGTCTAAACACAAGATTTTCCTCTATTGACTTCGATATGCTAACTTCACGCATGAGATCATGGACTTTGCAAGAGTCAATTGTTTTCCTACTGACAGGAGATTGTTGCGATGGTAGTATCATGCCCCTGTCAATGAGTTCCATAAAGTACAGGTCACCTCTTTCTACCATAGACTGGCCACGCACCTCCCTTGTGTAGCCTTCTGCAATCCAAAGGTGCACCAGACGTTTCCGACTAATATTGTAGTCTTCAGGAAAGATGGACAAATACAAGAAACAAGACTTGAGGTGATAAGGTAAGCCATCATAGCTTCTAATGAGGACATTTGGTATCCTACGGAGCTCTAGAGTCATCTCTAGCTCCGCACTAATATGTTCATTCAATTTTCTCCACTCCATGAGACTTTTTGGTTGCTTTGCCAAGAAACCACCAATGGTGACTATTGCAAGAGGAAGTCCATTGCATTTCTTCAGAATCACTTTCATTTCTTCAGTTAATTCAGGGTACTGCTCATCCATATATGCAACTGTCCCAAACACCTGAATTTGTTTCAATTTCGGATTTCAGCACATATAAAAATATAAAATAATTGGGATTTTTTTCAATTTATTCCTTAGCTCGGTTCTGATGGACTATAGACTTTCTATTCTTAAAGATAAGCATGATATTTTGGGAAAATAAAATCAGCTTTTTCACGGGACAACTTCACATGGTCACGCTTCAATTCAAAGCTAGATTTCCTGGAAGCTGACTTCCCTAAGAAGCACAGGGAGTAAAAGTGTAGCGTTTGGGAGTCTGCTTTTATAGAACTCATGCAAGCACAAGCACAGAGGACGGAGAAAAAAACTGACATTCCTATTGGGCCTTTAAATTTGGTTGTTGGCAAATGGAACCCATGTAATTAGGAAGGCTCAAGTCCATCTAGGTCTGCTGGTTCTTGGTTATGCTTCAATTTTAATCAAAGTCTCTACCAAAATCAAAGGCTTAATATTGTTATTAAGAAGTTCTAGGTTATTTTTCTTCTTCTTTCTAGTCACCTAGTAAAATGACAAAAAAAATTTACCATAAATAGATTATTGCATTGAGTAGTATATGCCTTGTGTTAGTATGAGTAGTGTATCAGCACAAACTCTTGGGACTTTATTGATAAGTTGCTATGTGCATGGACACGCTAGGGGATGATGCACAAAAAGGAAATCTTTCCCACAAATAATTTTGTATGCCTATAATGTAGTTCCATGTCAAATAAAGTGGGCATGATTATATTCTATCATACCTTTTCTGTGAAGAGGTCATACGCATCTTTGTATTCCAGAAGCTTGAGCTTGTATATGTTTATGTCCTTCCTCGAACAATGCTTAGCAATATTCTCTTCCCTTGTGGTTACTATAATCCTGCTCCTTGTAACAGCTGTAGGGAAATAGTTTACAATAGCATCCCATTCTGCAGTGGATGATATATCATCAAGAACAATCAAATAGCATTTTCCTTGTAAAAGATTAGCCAATTTGTCACCATTCCTTCCTTATCACCCAGTTGTGTAGCTAAGCTATTGAGGAGCTCACTTCGATTGAAAGGACACTTGATTGTGACACAAGCACGCTTCTCAAACATAACATTGAGCTCTTGGCTTTGGTAGACATGTTTGACTAAAGTTGTTTTCCCGAGACCACCCATTCCGTAGATAGAGATCACCTCAAATTCTTGACTATGTTTATCTGAAATCTTTTTTATCACTTCTAATTTTTCATTTTCTCGCCCAATGAGCTGAGATTCCTTAAAAGCAACTAGTGTCGTTTCCATGCGAGTCAGTCTCTTTCCATCCATAAAGGTTTTACTATCAGTAGTCCTCGTAGTGTTTGAACTAGAGGCTTCCTCTATTGAATCTGCAACATCCTGTGAACCCTAAACACAAGCTATCCAGGTTAGGTGTTGCTCTGCATTTCATAGGGTAATGCTTAATGGTGTGTCGAAGCTTCGAAAGGTTACATTTTTTATGTAGAGAACAAAATTGTGCTTCTTCAACGGTACTCTCTCCGTCCATCATTTAAGGTGTATTTTGATATGGGAAACGTCTTACAAAGTAGACTTTGATCCTTATTAGTTTTACATTGTTTTATCAATTGCTACAAAATTAATATTATCTTAAACCCACTTTGAATAGAAATCTATAGATACAACTTTTATACACTAAACAAACACATAATTTGGCTAGTTGTTGGTCTTCTTTTATAAAATTTGTTTTTCACTATTAAAAATATGCCTTGCATCGGCTGTGATAGATATGCAACAATTAAGATAGCTAAGAAGGTAGGCCGATAGATAATATAGAAAATAAGCTTCATTGTAGGTTCCAACAAAGCATCAGTTGCGATTTAGTTAAACTGGGAAGTTGAACTAGAAAACAGTAAAGTAGACTAAGCTATCTGATTTCAGGGCTTTGAATGTTACCTTCTCATAGAAAGCATAAAGAGTCTGGTCAACAGACAATTGCTTGTGCTCTAGAAGCCCAATCTCTGTTCCAACACATAAGTTTGCCACTTTGATATGCTCTGTGCACACTATGAATCGGCTCCCATTCTTGTTATTTGGGAAGCATGTTTTGATCTGATGCCACTCTTCCATAGAGGAGAGATCACAAAGCACAACCAGGTAACTCTTCTCACTCAAAACTTTCTTGAACTCATCAAACAAATCATCTTCATTCATCATCCATATCCTCCACAGATCTTGGGCCCCAGGAGTTAACTTCTGCTTTGTCTTTGTTGCTTCATCTAGAATATTAACATAGAATTGCTCGATGATATTCTTCACAAACTCTGTTTGATTGAAAGGATGCATGATCCTGATCCATGCATGGTACACAAACTTCTTCCTCTCAAGATCATCATAGGCCATCTTTATGATGGATGTCTCCTGAAGAACACCACTTGTTCCCCATACAGAGATCACTCTAAGGTTCTCATCCTTCATGTTGATCAATTGAATGAGATCGAGCTTTGCTTTTTCGTGTTGCCTCCTCACTTCCTCAGTGCTAGACATTGTTTCGCTGGCCATGTTGGACTGTCCAGTGGAGGTGATAGCCTTGGAGCCAGGGCCCTTGATGAGGCGGTAGCGCACATTCCTCTGGCTGACATCCTCAACCTTGGCTCGAAGCTCCTTCATCTTCTTGGCCACACGGTGGCCTTCCAGCAGCATGAGAGGGATGCACCAGAAGCGCCACCAGGATGGCTTCCCCAGACGAACAGCAAAATCCTGGAGGGAGTCCTCTGCATCATAGGCCACGTCACGGACCTGTTTCACCCAGGTCTTGATCACCTTGTGCTCATCTCGCTCCTCATGTGCTGCCATCAGGAAAGCCATCATCATCTCAAGCTCATCCCTAATGAAAGCTTGGCCTTGCTGGATGCCAAGCTGCAAGGCAACCTCCTCCGCAACGGCGGATTTGGCATAGCCAAGAGCTCCATCCAGCACAGACTTGCCAAGGCTAAGCCCTGTTGCTTCCATCACCACCCTTTTTTTTCTCTCACACGCACTGTTATTGTTGAACAGTATATGGGGCTAAAGCAATTGAGGAAAACGTAGCAACACAATGTGCAAAGAAAAGGTTGATGATCTGAGCTAATATGCACAAGAACTAGGAAAGATACCCACTTGCTGATGCTTTCATGCGTCTCAAGGAAAGCAAAAGAAGATACTTTGCTTTGCAAATTAAATATGGAACATTCCTATCTTCTGCTTCAAGGTGACAGGAGGAACAAAGCAACATCGTCCTCTATCGTATCTTGGTAGGACACTCAAAGGACAGATGCTAAAGTAATGCATTCTCAACACAGGGCAGTAAACTTTAAAATCTCAGACTCATATCGAAATCCTAATTAATTCCTCATGTTATTACCTTTTAGGGCAAACTCCTAATCAGCAGCAAAAGGCATTGTAGAAATTAAAGTAGTGTTAGAGAAGTAAGTGCAAGGTGTTTATTACACATGTCCATTTTGATGACCTCACAACTTCCTTCTCTGTACATTTTATCAGGAAGCTTGTTTTGTTTCTTTCTGTTCCACACGGCAGATAGAACAGAATCACTGCTTTCGTAGCTTTAAGCAAAATTATTACCTAGCTAAAGCTAAAGCACCATGCATGCCTGATCCCTGTCACCCAAGGACTGAAGCCCCAAGCAAAGGAGCTGGTCCGGTGGGAGAAGGAATAAGGAGGAAGATGAGACATTTGTCTTACACTTTTGCTTGTTGCAGGCACCCAGCTCCTGGGAGGGTAAGAAAACTGCATAGTCACCCAGCGATCTGTGGCTCCTCTGAGGATGCCACCTTTCTTAATTGCCAATTGCCATCTATGAACGCATCCTGCGAACATTAGCCTGAAATGTTGCAGCTCCCGTTTCTTCCTCCATCACTGTGTGCATCCGTCCGTCCACCCGGGATGTGGAGGGGAGAGGAGGCAGCCACAGGCCACAGCGGTGCGCATTGCGGCCGCGACACGAACGAGAGCAAGACAAAATGGGCCATCTAGCCAAACAGCCCACAGGCCAAATGTGCCTCGGGCCTCGGGCCGTTCAGACTCGCCTCCGGCCCGGCCCACCTACACCTCCCAGCTCACCTCCCGAGTCCCGACGACCGCTTCGTGCCTTCGTCTCGTCCGTCCCTAGTCCCTACGACCCTACTCCCTCCCGCACGCCACCGTCCAGCAGCGCCGCCGCGGGGCGAGGCCGAACCCTCCTCCGTTCGCCGAGGCGGAGCTCGCCCTTCCGGGCCAGCTTCCACCGGGGCAAGCGCTAGGTCGCCTCGAATTCTTCCCTGCTAGTAGCGGCTCCGTCGCTCTACCGCGATGGCGTCGAGTGGGGATCCGCCCGGATCTGCTGGTGAGGGGTTCTCTCGCTCGCTTGCTTGGATTTTTTGTGTTCTACTCTCCTCCGATCTTCGCTATGCACGGAGAATCGAGTCCACGCCTTCCTCTGTGGATCGACCTGCTGCAGTTCATCCAGTCAGTTGTGGATTTGTTTGCTGTGTCTGGTAGAGCGCTAGTCCAATCCATTCGCCCATGCCTCGATTCGGGCCCCGCTCGAGCTCGATCTTGTGTTGGGGTGCTTGTTTTGCTGAATTACTGATGCTGATAGCAGTTTATCTGCCGAAAATCGGGGGATCAGTTGTACCCTCAGCCCTAGTGAAGTCCGCCTCTGCACGCAAGGGATGTCAGTGATACTAATTTTGTAGCAATAGAGTATATTTCTGCAATTGTTTGATGAGAATTTGCGAATTCATTTGGCTGCCCACTAATGAGTCGCAGTAGGAAAAATAAGTGGCCTATTCAGCTCAATTTGTTTATTACATTCCTTATGTGTGTGTGTGTGAATTGGGGGGGGGGGGGGGGGCATGGGGGATTCTAGGTTTTAGCGGGTGTTAGTAATTTGGTCTGCCTTTTTTTTTTATATATAGGTAGTTTATATATAGGTAGTTGGCTCAACTATGCATTGCATATTTATGAACTCACCAAACTGTTATCAGTTTCTTTCAATGGCCGTTTCCTTTTGCTTTGCTGTCATAGTTAGTTACCACATGATGTCTGTTTTGTTCTTATCCTTTTCTTTTGCAGATGAGAAGAAAGCTCCAAAATCGAAGGATCTTCTGACTAACGTCAAGGGGTTCCTCCAGCAGGCTTTTCAAATCCTTTTGATTTTGCTTCTATGCAAAGTTTGCTCAACGTATGCCCCTCTATGGCCATATAAATCCTGTAGTACATACTGATCTTCCTAATTACTTTTTACAGGATGCTGTTGTTCACTTAGTCAGTATCAATACATTATTGTAGTTTTACATGCTTGCATTTCTTCTAGCTTTATCTGAATCTGCATTATTTTTATTTAATGGACTCTTTGCAGATTGCTTCAAAGTTTACCCTTGTGTTATGTGCAGGATCCATCTATAAAGGAGATGGCAGATCAAATTGCAAAGGATCCTGCATTCAACCGGATGGCTGAGCAGCTACAGAAAAGTGCTCGTAGTACAGGTGAACAGGGCATGCCTCCATTGGACCCTCAACAATACATGGAAACAATGCAAAAGGTCATGGAAAACCCCCAGTTTATGACAATGGCAGAGCGCCTGGGGAATGCTCTTATGCAGGTACCATTGGAAAAACCCCGGCTGGTTTCCATTGCCTTATTTGTCTATCAGTGCCCTAAGTCTCAGTTATTTGGCTCAGGATCCTGCTATGTCCAGTATGCTGGAAACCTTTAGTAGTCCATCACATAAGGAGCAGCTGGAAGAGCGTATGTCTCGCATTAAGGAAGATCCAGCTATGAAGTCAATTCTTGACGAATTAGAGAATGGGGGTCCTTCTGCAATGATGAAGTAGGTCATATTTACTACAGATATGTTTTGTTTATAGAGTTTGTTTGTGACATTCCTGCCTGTCCTAATCTAGGTACTGGAACGACCCTGATACTCTTCAAAAGATTGGTGAGGCAATGGGAGCTAGCTTCCCGTTTGGTGCAGGTTCTTCTGCCGAACCTTCTGGTCCTGAAGAAACTGAGGAAGAAGGTGGGGATGATGATGAATCAATCGTCCATCACACTGCCAGCGTTGGTGATGAAGAGGTAATGAGAACATTGGTTTGAATGTTTGGCTTTTATTTTTGTATTGAATTGTTTTGGACTTTGCATATATTTTTATATTATATGCTGGTGACACTACAAAGCTACTTAATCAATGTCCATTACTACCCTTTGGTGTTTGCCATAAATCTATTTAATCTGAGTGATGCCAATGGAACATAGAAATTTTGTAGCTGTCGTAGTCATGTTGGTGTTTTTAGGTTAGATGTTTCTTGTAGCTACTATAATCATGTGGATGTTTTCAAATAAGATGATCTTGCTTACATTGCTATCTTGAGACATTAGGGCAGACTAGTTAACCCCTAGTCATCGACTTTCTGGTTCTCAGCAAATTCACTAGACAAACATATGCTATTTGCGCGCCAACGATTGGATATTTCTGCTTATCAGTCATTCGCCATTTGGTCTTAAATCGACTTTTATGGCCATAGAACCTGCAATAGTATGTTCAGTGTTCGCATGGTCATAAATTGATATATGTTTTATTAATAATCCTGATAAAGTCATCAATGTTGCATGTTTTATTCTAAACATCATTATCTGTCTCAGTAAATACAGTTGCCACCTTGCTACTGGGTTTTGATTTTGATATGCTGATGTTGCCTTCTAAAATTCATGCAATAGGGTCTCAAGAAGGCACTAGATGGTGGAGCAGACAAGGATGAAGAAGACTCTGAGGGAAGAAGGGCCTTACATTTTGCATGTGGGTATGGTGAGGTATGCCGATCTCCTCAGCCTTGTTAATACGTGATAAATTCAAACTTGTGGAACTAATGAATGTCCAATGATACCAACACTTCAAAAATTACCACATGACTAGGCAAGTTATGCACAAAATTATATTTAATTTGCAAGGCACATGGGATATCCATTTTCCTAAAGTCTTCAGAAACTTTTAGGACCTGTTTGGATAAACACTGTGGTTTTATAAGCCAAAGACATACAAAACCGTGGTTTAGAAAAAAGAGGCCATGAGTGGACTTTCTAAAACTCCAAAAAGACCACGGTTTAGATAAAACCATGGTTTTAGAAACTACAAGGTTGTTGTATCCAAACACCCAACAGCTTTTGAAATCCAAAATATTTTGCAAAAACATTGTATTTATCCAATACTCCAAAAATGCTTTGCATCCAAACGAGGCCTTATTCTTTTGATGTTTTTAAAACTTGTGGCAGTTTGCTAATTACTGTTCAGAAAGCAGCCAGCTGTTGAATATTTAGCTTGTTTAGGGTCTGAAAGACATGCCGTTATTTTTCAACTATGATAAAATCTAACTGAACATAGGTGGTTTCTTAATAAATTTATGAAAAGTGAAGAAGGTATCACCTTGGAGCCCCTAGCACTGCGATTAAATTTAGGGAGACTGCTAATACATACTGATTACGGAAACTCTAATTGACGACCTGTCGCGCTTCTGCGCGACCCACGCTCACACGGCCTGGCCTGCCTGACGCCCATGCGTCCTGGCCCACCTAGTCCATGTGAGCGTAAACCGTGAGATAGCGTTGCGTGACTCTCTCACGTCCACGTGACCTGGCCCGCCTAATGCATGTGAGCTTTGCTGCAGCGTGAGAGATAGAGGTAGGCTGCTCCATACATTTTTGTTTTGCTTTCTTTCTTTTAAAAATACGTTAACTTTCTTATACTTAGTCCGTTGTTAGTTTTATTTGCACCATTAGGATCTATAAAACTAGACCCATTATGCCTATATTTTAATATATATTTAATATAGTGGCAACTTATGTTGTATATATAGTAGCTACTTATGTATTTTATAGATTATGGTGATCAAACTAAGTAGCCACTTGCTAAAAAATAACTTACCACATACTCGAAATTACACTTGACACAAGCACATAATTTTAAACGAATTTGCGGAATGGATTAGTATTGTTGAGGCCCCGGGTTGACAATTTTTTGTGTTTTCTTGCTGATCCAAGTATTATGATAAGTATTTACGTATTTTGCGGAATGTTTTTTCTTTAGTTTTCATTTTCTGTTTGTCAATTTTAGTTTAATTTTCTGGTTGTCAATTTATGTTTTAGTCATGTGTTTCAGTTATTTGTTTTTCATTGTGTCTACTTTAGTTTTACGTTTCTCTATGTCAATTTCAGTTTAATTTTTTGGTTGTCAATTTCAGTTTCAGTTTTATATTTATTTTTTTTGTTTTTCATTGTGTCTACTTTAGTTTTCAGTTTTATCGATTTCAGTTATATTTTCTGGTTGTCAATTTCAGTTTTAGTATCTGGTAATTTCAATTTCAGTATTATGTTTCAGTTTTTTTGTTTTTCATTGTGGCTACTTTAGTTTTCAGTTTCTATTTATCAATTTCAGTTCAATTTTCTGGTTGTCAATTTTAGTTTCAGTCTTAGGTAGCCATTTCAGTGGTTCATTTTTCCTTTTAGATTCGAATGCCTTTCTAAATTCTACATATTAGTTGTATAATAACTTATACCCCCTAAGTTGGCAGCTTATGCAATGTTTTTCCTAATAATCTTTCAGTAACAACTTCAGTATATTTTTCAGTAACAACTTTAGTATTAGATGGTAGTAACTTCTTTGATAAATCTCCTAGCACATATTCACACATAAATTGCTACTAAAATAAAATTCTTTGAAACATATGCAAGTGGGGTCTAGTTTTATTCGTCTCGTCACGTAGAATACATCGGTGCAAACGGAATTAAAAATGGATACATCATTCAAAAGTTGTAGCAATTTAAAGAAAATATTTTGCTTTTTTTTTTGTTTGTGTCAGCTTGCATGCGTTGATCTGCAAAACTGATTGGTTGTCAGTGTTGCAGCGCTTTCTGCTGCTGCTGCAAGAAAGCAACAGTATCTGCCGACATAAAAACATGTAGCAACAGCTGCAGCCACCGTAGAGAAAAGGCAGCCGAGTGTGTCAGCTTGGACGCATGAATCGAATGGAAACGAGGCGGGAGGGGAGAGGGTCCAATCGCAGGCATGTCAGGCGACAGATTGGGGTGTGGCGCTTCCATATAAGCTTGCTTGACGGGTCGCGCGCTATATCGTTGTCCTACTGATTACCTCATGTTAGGGGCTGCAAAACACTTGGACCTAGGTGGCGGCCTAGACTGTTTTTTGAAACACAGGTGACCATTAGCTTCCAAGGACTTGCTAATGGTTCGCCTCTAACCTTGAGATAATTGCTGTGGTATTCAGAGTAGTTTTCAGTATCTTGCTGTTTAGAGTAATTGCAATTTGTAGTCTTTACGATTGGCATTATAGTCCGTTGACGGCTATATTGATGCTGGAACATTAAAATCTAGGAGTGATCTTATGCTGTTTGTCATGATTTCATAGGTATAGTATAATCTAGAAGGTTAGGTGGTAAAATGCATTTGAGATATGGGTTCACTTGTTACATGTATTCATTCTTTATTGATACTAGTGAGTAGTGATAAAGAATTTGGTGAACTGCATTTCAGTTGAAGTGTGCCCAGATCCTTCTTGAGGCTGGTGCTGCAGTGGACGCTTTGGACAAGAACAAGAACACCCCGTTGCATTATGCTGCTGGATATGGCCGCAAGGAGTGTGTGGATCTTCTTTTGAAGCATGGTGCTGCTGTGTAAGCTAAATCATCCTCCTTCCTTTCCCAAGTGTGATACCATCGATGTTTCTTTGACTGTCTCCAACGCACTGCAGAACGCTCCAAAACCTGGATGGGAAGACTCCCATCGATGTTGCCAGGCTCAACAACCAGGATGAGGTTCTCAAGTTGCTCGAGAAGGACGCCTTCCTTTAAATATCATGGCTTCCATAAACACATGGACTCTTGGTTCAAGTATGGTCATGTTTCACACCGGTTGTTTTTGTTTGGATAGCCACATATCAGGGCCTTATATCTGTTATTATGCCTAATTGCTATCTGGTCTAGCTAGCATGCGGGTCATGCTACAGTTAAGGGGCTGCTGTTTGAACAAGCCTGTAATGGTCTACCGTATGTGACTTGTGTATTCCCACCTCATTTCTGATATTGAAGCTCATATGCATGTTGTTTTCGGCCTTCTGGATCAAATTTCATGGTGGTGTATCATGGTTATCCAGGTGTTAAGGTTTACTGGCTACTGTCAACTAAGGGCCTGAGGGCCTGGATCCGAAGTCTCTAAACAGGTGGTCTAAAGTTAGCTCTAAACTTTAGCCTGCCTCATATTAGAGCTTAAGGGGGTGTTTGGGACTGCTTCGCTCCACGTTTTTTAGCCAAACGATTTTAGTTTTACGCACTCTGTTTGAGAAAAAGGGGTGGAATTGTGAGAGTACCTAAAGAGGTGCTTCGTAAACTCTAGTTTTTTGTGGAGCTGTTCCACGGTGAAATTTGTGGAGCAGAATTAGAGCTCTAAAATTTAGAGACGGGGATCAAACAGGCTCTAAGGCGTGAGGCGAGGTGACGCCTTAATAATTTAAGGAAAACTTCAGCAGCTTAGAGCAGTAGATGATGAGCAAAACAAAAGGGAAAACGAAAAATTAAGGGGTAAGAAGTGGGTTGGCCCAGCCCACCATGCAGCCCATGTCCCCCTCCCCTCCTGGAGTGGCTTCATCTAGAGTTATCATGCATAATTAAATGCACGATTGGTCCATTGTAAAAAAAAAATGCATGAATGGTCCTTTCAACACTCAGGCTAGTTAGATATATTCAAGGCATGTTTGGATGTAGTTTCAAAAACTTAGGTTTCTAATACCCTTCCGTAGTAGGCGATGAGCTGTGAGCGGACCAATCCTCCCTCCTAAACCTAGTCTAGATCTTGGACATGAATGGCAACTCTGGTGCTCCAATTGCGTGGGTAAGCCTAACCCTAACCGTATCTTCCTCTCCATCTTCTCCATCTTCGGTGAATATAACTGTCCTCAAACCCTCTTTCTTGATTTTTTTTTCTTAGGTTATTGGCCGATACGACATACATCAACACTGGTACGGTGCACCTACTGAGGAACCAAAGTGCCCGTGATGGATGAATGCGATCACTGACATAAGACAAGTCTACTCATTCCACTAGTGATACTAAGCATTTGCTTATTAGGCACCTTAAAACGTGCAAATCTAGGCAACAAGGCAATTGTGCCATGGCTTAGTCTCTGCTTAAGTTTAATCCTAATGGCTATGTCCATCATCAAGAGTACAATCCCAATGTTGCTCACTCAACAGTATAGTTGATTGCTAGAGAGGATCTCTGCATCGCTCATAATCCTAGATTTGTTACCGCCTCTAGGAAAACCACCACTGGGGATTTTGCTAAGTATTCCAACGATTGTTTGTGGTAAGCTTGTATAGAGTCCTTGCAATATGTTTGCCCCGTTGCTCTTATATCTGATATCTCATCTAATAATGCTAAGGAAGGCTGTTACTATTGTCTCCTATTATGTTAATGTTGATTGGCAGTTCGAGAAGAGGACCCTAAGTCCTAGGCTTATTGATGTCTCACACAATGGTGATAATATTGTTGAGCTTGTGTGTCTGTGGTTCTGACTATGGTAGAACCGACGAGATCTTCTTTGTTACATTAGATATTGGGAGGCACTAGCACACATCCGGACATCCGGCCCCAGCAGCGTGTCCGGACACAACTCCCCACCCGTCCGATACTATCCATAGGAGCCCGTCCGATACGAGCGACTCGCCCTAGCCTTCCCATAGCGCACATGTCCACAAGCGCAGCGTGTGCCGGCCCCTAGACCACCCCATCCGCAGCCCCCGGCGCGCCGCGTGCCCCATCTCCCGGCCCTTATGTGCCTCGTCCGCAGGCCCCCAAGCTCGTTGCGCCCATCCCCTGGTGCCCAAGCCGTGCCCCCACGACTCTCTGAACATATTTGAAACATGAAACACTTGCGACATGAAAACACTCGAATGCAACATACATCTAAAGAAGATGAAACATTTGAAGCATACACATACAACATATGTGTGAAACATATGCAACATCCAGATTAAACACTTACAACTTGCAACATGAAAACACTTATTGGTTACTGCAACATAAGACTAAAACAGCTGAACATTAGGAACTGTTACAGCATATGTGTGAAACATATGCAACATTCAGATCAGAATTTGCAACATATGTCTGTAAACAAATGAAACATTTTGAACAAACGCTTGCAATATGCCTCTGAAACACTTGCAACATGTGCAAACATCCAGATCTACTTTTGCAACATCCATATGAAATAATTGCAACATACCTCTGAAACGTTTGAAACACTTGAAACATGCATTTGCAACATAGGGGAGTGGAGGCCTGGGCCGGTCAATTCCGAGCGTCGAGGTGGGAGACGGCGGCTAGCGATGGCGCGCGACCACCACTAGGCTCGCCCGAGGACGATCCGAGGCGCCTTGGCACATGCGCCCAGCAGATATAAGTAGGGGCGGCAGCGGCGAGGCATCCCGACGGCGTTGGGGGTTGGGGAAGAGGTCAGGGAGGCGCTCTACTGTCAGCGGACACGAGATAGAGAGCGAGAGATGGGGAGAGCTGAGGTAGCGCACGGGATGGGGCGCGGCGAGGGATGGCCGCGGCGCGGGCCGCGTGACGCGGGGGTCGAATCCTTGTGGACCGGGCACGCGACGGGCGGGGCAAGCGACGGCAGGGGGCAACTGTCGTGGGCGAGGCGCGCGTCGTAGGCGGGAGCAGCACGTGCGGAAGCGGAGGCAATGTGTGGCACGTCGTCCGTCCGGACGGACGCCCGCGGTGGGAGCATTATCGTTAGAGATTGCATCTCCAAACATTTAGGCCCTGGGTAAACAAAGACCAATATTGCCTAGTTATGTTAGTTCTTTGTTCTTGCATATCGCTATGCTTGCCACTTAGAACTGCAGCCCTTACCTTTCGTGAACTATATAAGGTCAAATTGATTAAGTTTGAAGAATTGGCAGTGCATCAGCCTAAGCTTCGGTTCACTGTTGGTGTGTTATCAACTGTTCTTCTTTTACATAAATAATACTATTTCCGTCAAATTTCAAGTAAGTCCTGTTACACTTCATCAAATTCTCTGATAATATTGCCGCTCTCAAGCGGTCAAGCCTGAACTCTCAAGCTCTTCCTATTGGCCTAGTGCTATATATATGCGCTCGCCGTCCAAGGCACGCAACAACTCATCACACGGCTAATCTAGTAGCCTCCTTCCTGGATGTCTAGCAGCCGATGGCACCTCCTTACTGGATAGTGGAGACGGGCAGCCATTGCTGGCACCAGAGCTTCACACTGGGTTCTGCGTTCCAGCCTCCTCGTCCCGGTCCTTGCCACGCTCGTCGCTGGCCCCGGCGACCTGTGCCGTCTGCTCCACTTCATTGGAGCCCCTGCGTGCAACCATAGTCTCAGCAGTAGTGAGAACCATATGTGTAAGCGTGCCAGGATGCAGCCATAGCTGAAATGATGGTGAAACGAGCCATACTTGTATGAGTATAAGACGATGCCGCCTGCCGTGGCGGCGAAAGCAACGAAGTAGATCCAGTCGACCTGGCCATGTGTAAACACACGCTCAGTGAGTACATTTTTGTCAGTTTGAGTATTGCTTGGAAACGATGAACTTTGACAAGCTGGGTCCTCTCCGGTTCCAACTTGGGCATGTTCCATAGCAAGGTACGTATCTAGTTTTCCTAGTAGGAATTCTGAATGTGCAGAGGAATGCAGTGCAGTGGACAAACCTTCTCATGATAAGCGAAGATGCGGATCAGAACAGCCCACATGTCTGAAGTCAGGAGTGAGAGGTTCAACATGGTTGCGCCACATATCTGCAACAGACATGGGAATTAATGCGAATGCAAGTGCAATGTCACTATGTCAAAAAAAACCTGAAAGTACATACTAGCAGTCAGGACCATCAGTTAAGCTCAGCAATCCTGCAGTACCTTTAATATTATCGGTACAGTTGAGTAGAACAGGAACATTGCTACTGCGAATCCAACAAAAGGGAGCACCTGAAACAACAGAAAAAGACCATGGCAAGGAGAATCATAACCATGTCTGGATAATAGTAGAAAAAATAATCTAGAATTTGCATTGATCAGAGCTTAAGGAATGAAATCAGAATGTTTGGCATCAAGAAGAATGGGGAGAGATACTTACAGCACCAGTAGTCCATGTAATCGAGTGAAGTTCTTTTCGCTCGAGTATACTACTGTTGCAATGTCAAGGAAACAATAATAAAGAAATTTCCTTGGACGGGAGGAGAGTATAGGGTATGATTGAAAAATAATAAAATGGGTTAATTCCAAAGGATACATTTGTATGCCACTGACAATTGCTCCAAAAAGTCCCAACATTGCCATCAACTCCACTCTGTTGCTTTTCTTGATAACAAACTCCTGAATTTCAGTGAGACGAATTGATAAATCTCTCTGTACACGTTTTTTTACAACCAACAAGAAACAACCGATGATCATATAAATAGTTGTAACATGCAAGTAAAGCCAAGCAGGTCGCTGGTTACCTCAGTAACGTTACTGCAAGCATAAAGCATTGAACCAAGAATTACAAACAGATCACCCTTCAATGGATTAGGTCCTTCTGCAAGACATGTCAGAATGTAACGGAAAAGAGAAATATGCTATGTTCAGCAATGTTAAAAAATGGAACAATTTTCCTATGCCCATGAAAGTACTTTATAGTTATTGCTGGTTTTATATGGGACTGTAACATAGGCACATATATAACACCATGAGAAGCATATTCTTACTAGCTCGATCAGAGGCATGGACGTCTGAAAATACAACTAGTATAAGGCCAACCACACAAACTCCGACGCCAAGGAACTTCCTCAACCCATATTTTGTCTTCAGAAATACCCAAGTAAGAACAATGACGCAAGGAATTGACCAGCAATCCAACAGCATCACGCTTGTCAAAGATGTGTACTGGTATGACTTCACAACTGCACAAGCAAACAAAAACATTAATGGAGCCAACAGAAACTGAAATAATGGCTTAATTTTGTGTTAACTACATACCGATATAATTAGCTTCCACGTCGATAATTCCAAGGATTAAGTAGTAGTACCATTTTATCTGCACAGAAAAGAGTACAGATTCTGCATTATGATGCCACCTATAAACATTGTGACTGCCAACCAAAAAAATGGCCTAACCAAGCTGTATTTGAAAACAGAATCAGAATATTTTCAAAAGAAGGGCCGCAAGGCTGTGCCAGTTTCTTTCAAAAGAGGAGTTTAGTTAGAGCTTCTAACAGAAAAACAGAATCAGAATAAGGGGGTGTTTGGTTCGAGGGACTAATTTTTAGTCCCTGTCACATCGGACGTTCGGATGTTAATTAGGAGGATTAAACATGAGTTAATTATAAAACTAATTACACATATGGAGACTAATTTACGAGACGAATCTATTAAGCCTAATTAATCCATCATTAGCGCATATTTACTGTAGCACCACATTGTCAAATCATGCACTGATTAGGCTCAATAGATTCGTCTCGTAAATTAGTCTCCATCTGTGTAATTAGTTTTGTAATTAGAATTTATTTAATACTCTAAATTAGTGTCAAACATCCGATGTGACAGGGACTAAAAATTAGTCCCTGTAACCAAACACCCCCTAAGCATCAATCCTGCTGTGCTCCTGTCCCTACACCAAGATAACAGGCAGTGATCACAGGCCCTGACTATTGAGAAGCGAAAAGATTATATATATATATATATATATATATATATATATGCACATGTGACATGTCAAACTTGTAGGCTACAAGCAAGCTTCAACGGTGTAGAAAGGACCAGAGGTCAAAATGGAATAAGCCAAAGGATGGCCAGGCGCTCGAGAAGCCGCAAATGGCCAAGAACAGGAATCAACAGGTTCTTTACGACACTGAACATTTTCCGTGTATGAACTTTCTGACATGACAGCTCACTCTGAAGTAACAGTTGAAGGATGCATTGCATACCGTGAGGGGCTGCCGCCGGTAGAGGAGAACGCCGCCGTAGGCGACAGCGAGGAGAATGTAGTTCAGGAGCGACTGTGATGTGGGCGCGTTGATCCCTGAAGTCAGAACGTATAAAGTGAGCTGAAACCAACTGAAACAGAACAATTATTTAAAAACAACTTTTCCCTAGTGAAATGATTAGTCAAAGAGCTCAGGCACTGAATTAACTAGCACAGAAGCAGCAGAGGACGTCAGACGCTGCGTAAGTGCGGAAAGGCAGGCACGATGTTTAAAATCGAAAAAGGTTACAGATTTTATACTGTTGGAAAAAAAAATCTGTGTCGAGCTGGAGCAAAAGCGTCGCGAGTCGACGGCAGAGGATCCAGATTCCCCTACTTCGTCGCTGCACCACCAGAAGAGTCAAAAGCGCAAATCTTTCCGGCCGATTTCGATCGATTTCATCACAGAACGTGCGTGCGTGCGCGATCCCTCAATAATTCCCAACAGGCAACTGTACCGAGCACTCGCCGTCGTCGGCGGCGGCGGGGGGGAACCAATCCAGCCCGCGCGATGGCTGGCGGCGGCCGCCGGGCGGGCGGGCGGGCGGGGAAGGCGACGCGGCGTGTGTAGCGTAGTGTAGGAGTAGGACTGTAGGTATACACGTACCTCGGCGGGCGAGCTCGGAGGAGGCGAAGCCGGTGGCGGTGATGAGCAGCGAGACGAACTGGCCCAGCGCGAGGCCCAGCAGCGTCTCCCGCCGCACCCACCGCCGCGCGCCGCCTGCTGCCGCACCCTCGTCCGGCGGCGCCATTGAGTACTAGCCCTCTCCTCCCTTCCTTCCTTCCTTTGACCTCTGTCCTCCACGTGTCCTCTGCTTTCTCGCCGCCCGGCCGCCTCGCGCCGAGAGATTTATGAGGCGATCAGCAGCAGGTGTTCCCCCCCACAGCTGTGGCACCTGGCAGGGCACTCTACGCGGCGCGGTGGTGGGAACTGGAGGACTGGGAAGCCAAGAAGCTGCCAACGCTAACTAATTGCCAGACAGCCCGCGCGCGCGCTAGCTGTGTGCTCTTCTGGCCTTTCACAGTGCAGATTGGATTGGGCGCGGCCTTGTTGCGCTGCTCTGCTCTGCCAAGGGCTTCACCACTAAGTGCTACCGTCGCTTGCGGCCAAGAGGAGGGCTAGGATATCGATGGCGATGGGGGTTGGCTCGGCGCATTATTGGACTCATCGGAGGGTTGGTGATGGATGGATGGAGTTTGACACTTGTCAGGCTCGGAGATTAGGGTCCCGGCGACAGAGACGGCGACGCCCGTTCAGAGGCTCGCTTGTCATCGCATTTCGCCCTACTATAAGCACTCCCGTTACTCCGTTAGATTTAACAAACGGTTTATTATTATTACTTTGTTTTATTAGGCAACCTTATAGGTTTGATTTAATTTTCTGAAGAAACGTCGGCGTGAATCATCACGGAAGTCATCGCAGATTAATTAGAATGTCCTGGCCACTTCGTAATTTTATTTAAGACTAAAGATAAGCAAACTAAATCTAAAAATTGTTCAACTTTAAATTAGCGATAGGACCCAATTCTTTTGCTACCAGTGGTCTCGACTCTTTTGCCACCTGTGGTCTCTCCATAAAAGAATAAGGAGAATAGTGATGGCAGCAATGTCGACTTTATGTCCCTAAGGGCATGTTTAGTTCCACGTCGTGTACTATCACGCTATGTAAAAATTGGATCCGCGGTGGCTAGACAGTCTCCGGGTATTCCGATTTAAAAAGAAGATCTTCTCACACGGATCAAGAAAATCCCCGAACCCTGCCGCCTGTTTGGTTGCCATCTTAATTAGGCCTCGTTCGTTTGCTCAGGATCCAATCCTGGAGCTGATTTGTTCCACCCCAGGAATGAGTGGATTCCTGCCTGTCACTCCTTCCGTGCCTGTAACCATTCCTGCCTGTAACCATTCCCTTCCTGCTGTTCGGTTAGGCAGTGCCGTCGCTGACAGTCCAGGAACAGGAACATGACTGATCTCTCTAGGCCACGTTCGTTTGCTTGTGGTACTGAACAAGTGTTTGAGTACTACAAATACATCTCATGAAATACATTGCAGCAAAAACAGGCTCTCATACATTGCAGCAAAATAAAATAGATAAAATCTCCCATGTTTTGGAGTTCTTTTATCTGTAAGTCTCTCATCATGCTCTCATACATGTAGAGATAATGGGCAGCAACAATAGCAGAGTACCACAGATAATGTGCAGCCACATATAAAGGACATGCTAGCTACTGCCAAAAGTGACAAAAAGGTGCACCAAAAGGCTGCCATGATCCACTCATGGAATTACAATCTTCATAATTTAAACTAGTAGATAACTCATCTCAGCCTACTCAAGTGTTCAGGCACTTTGTCCAATCCAATGTTTCTTGACCATTGTCTCCTCCTTGAAAATGACAGCAAGCTTTCTTTTACAAATAATTGAACGAAAACGACTCACGATGTAGTCAACCAAAGCATAATTGAATCAATATGTCAGTTTAAAAGCTTTGATTAGTTATGAAACTAGTCAGTGCCTTCATAGGCTCTATCCTATCTCTTGCAAAAAAAAACATGTTGAGTGGGCCTCTGTCAGTGTTGCTGCCATTACAGAAACATTAACAGAAGCAATTAATGAAACATGCTTTGAAGGTACAGTATGTCCTTCACTTTGATGGTATCTGCTGTTCTGGTATTTCTGCCTACTAAAAAGACTGCAGCTAGATGTCAAGAGAAGGATTTCACCAAATACAAGAACTAGGATGCTATTAAAAGTTTGACATCCTTTTAAACTTGCAGGTATCCTTCGGCAACTTATAAAAAATCCTTTGGCAAAAAAAGAGAAAAAGAAAATTGTACAAGCACTATTATCAATCTACTGAATGGTCTGCATAGTCACTAACTCACTATCTTCAAAAGGAAAAATGTACAGCTCCAGTTACACTGAAACAGATTCATTTAAGGAAAGTAAGACAGGAACCATGATAGCCAGAAATCAAGCAACAAAGTAGATAGCAAGATTAATAAGTAAGCAAGCAGCTCCTAAACAAATAGTGCAGTGAAAATTGAGCCCCTACTTGAGTGTCAAGGAGTGTGCGGTTCAGTAACACAATAAAAATTTGAGCCCCTAAACTAATAGAAGGAAAAAATCAAGTTTTTAGCAATTAAGTAGACTGGCCTGTTAGACCATCGCATTTTTGAGCCAAACCAAAGTTGCTTCTCGATCTAGTTCACAACCACTTAGGAAGGCCTCTTTATTTTCTTTGCTCTTGATGAACACTGCAAATGCCTTTGCCTTTTCTTCCTTTGTCACTTCCATTGTGCTCAAAACGGATATACACCTTTTGATAGAGAAGTCATTACCTTGAGCAACCTCCTTTTCTTTGGCTAGATCGGCAGACTCATCTTGTACTTGCTTAGTCCTCATGTCTAGGTATTTTCCTATCACTTGTTCAATCCTTTCACCCTTCTTAGGTCTCTTTTCTTCCTTTTCATGTTTTTTTGCTTGATGTAGTAGTAGTAGTTCTTCGCTGCCTGCTTCTTTCAACAGCTACGACCTTATTTTCTTCATCTCGTGACAGAGAATCTCGTGTCCATTTCTTTCAACAGCTACAACCTCACTTGCTTCCTCTTGTATCTCAGTGATTGAATCATCTTCATCTAGTACCTCATGAACCTCAATGTTGTCCAAGTCATCTACATCATGAATTTGTCGAAGTGGTGCTTCCTCTTGTGGTGGCTCAAGAGAAGTCAGATTGTAAGTACCTTCAGCCAAATGACCTACACGATAACAAGGAAATAGTTATAGAAAGTGGTCTTTCCTCATGAAATTCAAATATAAAGAGAACCAATATAGTTATGACAACTAGAAGGAGTTAATTGGGGGAAAAATATCGTGCAGAGCAACTAGTAGTGCAGAACTGAAGAAAACTCATCACAGTACAGATGAGAAGAACATGGATGTAGAGTTGCTATTCTGACATCTATAAATTGTGACAAGTAGAAGCATATAACCTAACTCTATAAGACTAGCATATTGTTGCTTAGTCATCAGCACTAGTAGAAAAGCATTACTATAACTAGCATATTGTTGCTTAGTCATCAACACTATAAAAATACTGATCAAAGACTACTAGACAAGTCAAGTGAATCACAGGATAATATAGAGAAGCAAGATAGAAACAAACAAATACTAAAGTGAGAAGCAGAAAGAATATATTGATTGTCACTGTTTGCAACTATAGAAAGTGAACCTACCATCATAAAGCTCTCCCAAAGCATCAAATAGTGGAAATATTGCCTTACTGTTGCGGAACTTCCTAATTTTAGGAAATGTCTGCACATTCAAAGAGAACCATTGCTCAAATATGAGGTTATCACTATGAGGATATCCATAGAATTACTTCAAGAAATAAACTTACAATTTCAAGGTTATCCCACATAGATGGCGATCCTTCAACCATATGCCTATCTTCATTCTAGGTGGCCCCACTCTGCCTCCTTGCCTCTTTGAGCATCCTATATTCTTTCTTTAGCTGTCCTTCTTTGTCTTGAATCTGACTCTTTGTGTAGTTGACATACTTGTTCCTCAGATGGACCTCTTTCACTATTTTATTCCACCCTTCAGGGGTCCATCCGTTGTCACCTCTGTAGCCACTATCTTTATACTCATGGAGAATGTCTACCAGGGACTTCTCAAGGGCCGGATTCCAGTCCGCTCTTTGCTTTACTACTACGTAAAGCATGGTCAAACATCAGGTTACCAAAAATCAGCAAATAGAAATAACAGTAAAGAAATACCAGTTTACAGGTTACAGGTTTACTAAAACTACTATAATAGCACATGGTGGAATAAACTATATAGAAGAGAATTACTTCAAGAAAGTTCTTTTTAGTAGCAAACAGTTGCAAAGAAATAACAACAATAATAGCAAAGAAATAACAACAATAATAGCAGAGAATTAAACACCATACCTCTCGGAGAACCTCCAGTCTTCTTTGCCTTACTGCATTTAGGAGAAGCCTTCTTTTTAATACCACTTGTTGTACCCAAGAACCGGTGCAACTTTGGTGACGCCCTTGCAATCATATTGAGCTTCGGGGAGCCTTTTCCAACCATCGCTATCAAATATGACACAAGCCTATTCACGTATTACAAGCTTATTCAATTATTACAAGCCAAGTTTATTACAAGCTTATTCATGACAAAAGCTTATTACAACATATTCAAAGACTAATTTAAAGACTAAAAAGAAGTCTCTGTTTAATTACAATCCATGCTTATTACAAGCTTATTAACTTATTACAGCCTATTCAAAGGCTAATTTAAATGTTGCTGGTACTGAACCCACATTTCTTGGACGATGGTGTCTCTTAAAGTGTTGCCTTGTACTGAATCCACATTTAGGTCATTCATTTGATCACCACTTGGTACAGCAACAAAGTTTCTGGGAGGGATATTATCCGGCTGATGATCTAACCATTCCTCATCTCCATGAAGTAATCGGATCATATTATGGAAGATGGAAGCAGCTATAGGTCTCTTTACTTGATTTTCCAACATGTGGAATGTGGCAACTTTCAGAATGGGGAAGCGCTTCTTAAGCACCCCCAAAGCCCTTTCCACATGGTTCCTCAGTAGTGTGTGGCGGTGGTTAAAGAGCTCCTTTGGGTTCTGCGGCCTTCGATGTTCAGCCCCAAATTCTTTCAAATGGTATCGAACTCCTCGATATGGAGCAAGAAAAGATGGAGTATTTGCATACCCTCCATCAACCAGATA